GGGAAGGTCAGGTAGATTACTGGATAAAATAGACTATCTTAAATGGAGGGAAGAACTAATGGAATATAAGGTAACCACAATGGGGTTGGGATGGGCGGGTTATTTTGGGTGTTGGGGAGGGCAATACAAGTGTCAGTGGTAAGTTTATTGAACTCATTAACTGTTCTGGGACTCTGTAAAGATATGCCCATATTCTAAGGAAATGCATAGTAAAGTTGGGAATAAAGAAAAAAAAAAAATCAATCTGAAAAACTGCATTATTGAGTAAAAGGCCAAAAAAAAACCCATCAATCTGATATAAACTTTACCTCTGTGATTCTTCCCACTACAATGTCTCCAACTTCACCATTATACCTGAAAGATAAAGCAAGAGGTCATGAGTGAATAGACTATATACATGACCCAGCACCATTTGAGATTTCAGTTAAACTGGATGAGGCTTGATTAGGCACATTTAACAAATTCACATAACTAGGCTGTTTGTACTGGAAATATTTTCAGGAACTGATCACTTCAAACATTTCTACTTGTATAAAATCCCCCTTAACTATTCTTAAACAAATCCATACACGTGGCCGATTAAGGCTGAAATCCCTATTTTGTTAGATTACATGACAATGTAAAGTACAGAACATTTTCCTGTGGGAAATTCTGAGACAGGCTGGCCCACAAAGAGGCACTGATGCCAGTCAAATGGGCTATTATTCGCTGTCTCCCCCACCCACTGGCTGCCCTGACTCAAGCCCCTCATCCCTGATTCTAATAAGGAAATGTCCAATGCTGAAGGTCAGTGTCTGGGTCTCAGTTCATGCTCATCTCTTGGTTAATGAATTCAATCGAATGGCTTTAAATACCACTGCTGACTACCCCACTCATTTTAGATTCTACCACCTGCTGACTACCCAACATCTCCATTTAAAGGACTAATTGTTATTGTTAAGTGCCTTCCAGTCAGTTCCGACTCATAGTAACCCTGTACAGCAGGGGCAGGACCACTTTTCTGCCAAAATTTGTAACATCATTTGTGGGTCATATTTAACAACAACAACATGATGGCTGTGTCTGCGGTTGCCTTGACAGGGCCAGACTAATGGACTCTGAGGGCCTTATACACGCTGTAGGATAAGCACTCAACCGTAAGGTTGGTTTGAATCACAAGGATGGAGGTTCAAACCCACTAGCTGCTCTTCAGAAATCCTATACAGGATCACTATGTGTCGGAACCAATGTGACAACACTTAACAACATATGGGGGTTCCGAGGCTTTTTTAAACAATTTTTACAGGAACATAAAGCCTCATCTTTCTTCTGTGGAGTGGCTGGCGGGTTTGAACCATAGACTTTGTGGTTCAGTCCAGTGCTTTCAAATGTAACAAAAGCCCAAAGTAAGCTTGCCAGCGACCCCCTTCTCTCTCTCTTCCCCACTCCCGGCAAACTACTCCTATCCCCATTTCAATAAATGGTGACTTCATCCCACAGATGCTAAAAATCCCTAGTGGCATCCATGATTCCTCTCGGTCTCTTATGACCAGTGCCATAACAAATCCTTCCAGCTTCACCTTCAAAAAATATGCACAATCAAATCACAGCTCCCCATTTCCACGGCTACTATTCCAATCGAAGATACCATCACTTCAGATGAATTCATCCCCCTAAGTCTGCTCTAGTCCTCCTTCAATTTCCTCATAGCAGCCAGAGGGATTTTATTAAAAGCGTTAAGTCAAATCATGTCCCTCCTCTGCTCTATCTACTCTTTTAGTGTCTCCCAGATTACATCAAGTGGAAGCCAAAATGTCACAGTGGCCTACACAGGAAGTCAAAAGCTCCATCCACCTCAGCTCTCTCTCTTTGCCTATAGCTGCTCCTACTCTCCCTACCACTCACTCTGTTCCAACTCGTTCCGGGGCTAACCTTTACTGAGCCCTTCTAGGCTCTGGCTACGTATGAATTCATCATTTCACTGAATTCTAACAAAAATCCTACTTTTATCCTCATTTGGCAGGAGGGAACCAAAAATCTTTAAAGCTGTACTTACTATAATCTTTCCTATAGTTCTGGAGTCCTGGTGTGGCGCTGTGGGATAATGCACTGGACTGCAAGGTCAGTTTGAACTGTAGGGTCGGCAGTTCAAGCTCATCAGTCACTTCTTGGCAATCCTATACAGGGTGGCTATGAGTCACAACTGACTCGACAGCACTCAACAATATAGTTGTGTTCAAAGCCACAGACTCACAGAATGATAGGGAAGTTGGGAAGAAGGAGACTGCAGAGACCTGCTTGAGTAATATAGATGCTGCAAGAAACAGAATACACACCTTTTGTCCTCACCTGGTTTTCAAAGCTTTCACACAAATCAACTTGTTTACTCTTTCCACAGAGCCAGCCACAGAGGCTATGAGTTTCTCTTCCCCCATATAGGTTCCATGGCCCCTGTTTCAAGATAGATACAAAATATATCACTTGAGACGACTTCTCCCCTCAAGAATAATGTTCCTCAAACTTAAAAGGTTCCTTCTGTCTTAAAGCCTGGCCTTCATACTAACTACACTCCATAGGCCTGGAACGGTCTCTCTCTGTTAGAATTTAAACTCCACCAGGACAGAGATTTTCAATTTGTTCCTTGTTATACTCACAACTACACATACTAATGTGTTGAGTACATGAATGGAGGAATTAATTTTAAGATTTCATTGGATGCAGCTCAGGATGCTTGGTGGTGCTGTAAAATAAGCTGTAAGATGGCAGTTCAAATCCATCAGCCACTTTGTGGGAGAAAGATGAGGCTTTCGGCTACCATAAAGATTTACAACTTTGGAAACTATACAGGAACCTACTTAGTGTAACAAGATGCAATCCCTTCAAACTGGGCAAAAAAAGCAATGCTATAAGTGCTGTACTCCTCATATACACATTTATTCATGTATTTCCCCACTCCCTGCAAAAAATAAAACACAGCTGAAATCCCACAAAAATGCTAACAGCAACATCTGTGTAGGAAGGTGGGGTTATGATGTTTTGTTTCTCTTTTTCACATTATGCTGCTTCTTGTTGTTAAATGCCAGTGTGTCAGTTCTGATTCACGGCAACCCTTTATAGGGTTTCTGAGGACAGGCTGGTGGGTACTTCATGTTAGTGCTACACCAGGACATTAACCTTCACATTCTACAAATGACGAAACACCTTTCAAAAGGTAATGCAGCTAACAGAAAATGATTGCAGCAGGACTGGAACCAGAGCCTGCTCTCTATCTACAACAAACTATAATGTCTTTAGACTCAAAGGTTGTATATTTTAATGCATGTAACACAATATATTTGGGAGCTCGGGGGCTCTGTGGGATATGCACTGCACTGCAAACCACAAGGCCAGCGACTTGAGCCAACCTGCTGCTCTGCGGCAGAAAAAGGAAGCTTTCTGCTCTCTCGAAATAGTTACAGTCTCAGAAACCCTAGGGTTGCTGTGCGTTGGAAACGACTCGAGGGCACTTAACAACAACACAACATGGTGACTTCATACTGTGAAATGTCTGCTCTACACCCAAACTATTACTAACTCCAAAACTCAGTCCCTGTCTCCAAAAAAGGCGGAGGGAGACGGAAGCTAAATTAGAAATGCCCAACGTTCTTCTGAAAACTAGAGGCCCTCGTTACAGATTCTCGCCAGTTTTCCAGGTCTCCAACTAGGATGGTTCACAGTTTGGGGGCAAAGGCAGAGGATCCTAAAGCCATGATAGCCAAATGTCAGGGAAAGAGGGCTGGGGGGGGGGGTAGGGGGCGTGACAAACGCGAATACACACGATACAAAGAATAATAAGTCCGAGTCCCAGGAAACCGGGCGATTGGGATGCTTTGAAGATGTGCCCTGGGTCTCGGAGGGGCTTAGACGCAAGAGGCCCGGGTTTCGGGCTAGTAGGCCACGTGCAGGAACCTGCAGTGGCTCGCTGGAGTCCCAAGTCTCCCAGGTCCTTACATACCGCATGAAACCCGTGTCTGTAGTGATCGTGTCCCCCGGCACTACCAAATGTTTTTTGGTCTCGTTTCCCAGAGTCTCATTAACAGGCTTACGAGCAACAGGAAGCCTCATCTCCATCGCCATCTTGGCGCCAATTACTTGCGCATGCTCAATCAGACCAGGAGTCACGCTATAAGAGTCCGAGCAGATGTTCTCTTGGGAAGGGTGGGGCGTGGTCTCAGAGATGCCGCCAATGGGAGCTCACCGACCGATAGCCATATTGGTTACTGGCAATTTAGGTTAAATTAAAGGGAAAGAAGAACGAAATTACCATGTTTACTTCTGGCAAGGTCGTGGTGATGGTAGTGTGCCACCAGATCGGTTCCAACTCACGTTGTTGTTGTTGTTCAGTACCTTCGAGTCGGTTCCAAGTCACAACGACCCTGTATAGGGTTTTTGATGGGTTTGAACCGCCGACCTTCCGCTTCAAACTGACCTTGCGGTCCGATGCATTATTATCCTGCAGCGCCACACCAGGACTCGTTTAAGTAGCTAAGAGGCTGTTTTGTTGTTTTTTATGAAAGCAGTCAGGAGGATGGAAAGGTGGGATTTACAGACAACACTATATGGACAAAAACAGGACAGCTCCATTCCCCACCGCTCTTAGTAACCCCAGTATTTTACGTTGTAGCCGCCCTGGTTACGTTATAGTTCAGCACCAACCATCACTCCCTCCCCACAAAATGCTCTAGATTCTTTTCTTTTGCAAAAACAAACTATCCTAAGAAGACAAGTGGAACCTTACAAGGCAGCTTTATTTAGTAAGGAGGGCAAGTGCCTACATAATATAAAGATCCTCACTTAGACATGTTATGAATCAAGAATTTTCGGTGTACCTGGCACCTTTCTAAGGATTCAGGGAACAAATGTGTATGTGGCTTCATCTCCATATCCTATAATAATGGGAACATTTTCCTCACCTCTTCTACCTGCCTCTTGCTACTCTCTCTGGCCCTTGTCCTGCGTGGTGGTTTATTGCACAACAAACTTGAGTCTCAACCTCTTAGAATTGGAGAAGATAATTCTTCATGGACAGGGACTATACTAAAACCAAACCAACCCCTTTAGGGTCACGAGGATTCCAACTCCTAGTGACACTAAGGACAGAGTAGATCTGCTCCATTGTGTTTCCAAGACTAAATCTTTACGGAAACGGACTCTCCCATCTTTCTTCCCTGGATCTGCTGGTCGGTTCTAATTCGTCTACCTTTCCAGTTACATGGTGCTGTGGGCTAATGCGTCAGGCTGCAAAGTTGATGATTCAAGCTCACCAGCTGCTACTTGGAAACCCTATACAAGGTCGCTATGGGTCCGGGTGGGAATTGATTAAACGGCACTTAACAACAAACAACAACAACCCTTCTGTTAGCAGTACAGCACTTAGCTACTGTGCAACCAGGGCTTCTTACAAGGACTACAAAGAGTATTAAGTTGAACCACCTGCATCAGCCACACATGCTGTGTGCTCAATAGATCAGGTCAGCTGCTTCCTGAAGATTTGTCAGATTAATTGTTTTATAAAATTCCCAAAGGAGGGTGCTGCTTTCACCTAAGCCAGACTTATAACTACCAACCCTGTGAAGCAATCTCTAGTGCTCTACTGGTCATTGGACAAGTGTGCTTGCCAGTAAAGTACTGGAGCAGAAGAAAGTGCAAGAAGGGCCCATCTGTTGAGTCTGGCTATGGCCATAAGGGGGCAGTGGTGTCCTGTGAGCCAACATAACTCAGTCAGGAGGGAGCAAGATCCTGAGGCTAAGGAGTGGGATAGAGTATTGGTATCTTGTTTCATACCAGGAAGGATGAACTTTAACTCTTCCATTCTCACAGCACTCATTGTTTACAGAGGGAGCCCTGGTGGAGTAGTGATTAAGTGTGTGTGTGTGTTGGGGAGGGGAGGGGGATGCAGCAATCTGCTTCCATAAAGATTCACGGCCTTGAAATCCTATGGTGGCAGTTCTATTCTGTCCTATAGGGTCACTATGACAGCAATGGGTGTTTTGTTTGGTTACCACATTGAGATTGAACAGGTTGCAGGGGAGGGAGTCAACTTAGACACATGACCACACCATGTGTGTCAGTGTAGAACGGATACCTTCTTACAGATGCCTAGGAGCTATAAAGAGGATTAAATTCTCAAAAACGAAGAGAATTCACACAGCAGATGGTCCAGGGCCAGTGTTTCAACTGCACCTGCCTTACTCCAGAGCCTGCACCATTTACTAAACAATTCCCAGAGGCCTGGAACTTGCTGGGTGCTTGAAAGGCATTATGTTATTGATTCCTCACAACATGGCCCTTCATAGGGCCATTGTTAGCTCTAACAGTCATTTGAATACCCAAAACATACCTGCTGCTGGACTAGAATCCAAGACTTTCATAGGGCCATTGTTAGCTCTAACAGTCATTTGAATACCCAAAACATACCTGCTGCTGGACTAGAATCCAAGACTTGACTTCCTACCCCATGCTCTGCTTCTTTACCACATTTGCCTCTTCACCACCTTATGGATAAGCAGACACCAGAAAGATGGCTGCGTATCCCACAGGACTGGTTAAAAATACACGTTGGGGGCTCAGATGTAGGCATTGAGGCTTCCAAGGGTGGGAATCATAAATCTGTGAGTGTGTGTTTGACTCCCTATGTGATTTTAATGATTGGTCATTTCTAATTCTCAGTTTCCCCATGTCCATCCTCCTCTAGATCTCTGCCTCCACTCCATGGTTACCACTCCAGGTCAATTAATGTCCCAAGTGGATAAAACAGCCTCCTATCTCACTGCCCTAATTCTACATTTGCCCCTCCTACCATTTAGTTTCCATATAGCAGCTGTTGCTGGTGGTGGTGGTATGCTGTTCTGACTCATAGACCCTGCATAGAGTTTCCGAGGCTGTAAATCTTTATGGGAGCAGAAAGCCTCATCTTTCTCCTGCAGAATGGCTGGTAGTTTTGAACTGCTGACCTTGAGGTTAGCAGCCCGGCTTGTAACCACTAAGCTACCAGAGCAAGAGGAATCATTTTTTAATGGATCAGATTAAATTATTTCCCTAATTCTGATTAACATGAGAGACTTCCCTTTATACTAAGACTAAAATCTAAACTTATCATCACAGCATTGGAGGCCTGCGGGACTTGGCCCTTGACTGTCTCTGACCTCACCTACTCCTAATCCATTTCCCTTATCACTTCAAGTCAGTCAGCCACTCTGGCCTCCTCTTGATTCCACCATACCATAACCATTAGAGGAGCTCTGGTAGCGTAGTGGTTACGAATCGGGCTGCGAACCTTAAGGTCAGCAGTTCGAAACTACCAGCTGCTCCGCGGGAGAAAGATGAGGCTTTCT